AGTCGCCATCGAATTTTCTTTTATCCAAAAGTAAAGGTGGAAAAGAACAGGAAAGACCTTTGAGATTGTTTCTTGAGTTCAGGGGATAGATTATGAAAAGGGAAGGTAATAACACCCTTTTCATCCATAGTTATCTATGGGCTCTTAGTTGCTTGCTAGATCACTTGCTTTTGTTTGAAAATGTGTTATGTGATGGTTTTGAAAGTATTTTTGAAAAGGCGCCTTCGTTTAGGAAAAAATTGTAATAGTTCTCATTCGTAAGAACGTATACAAAGTGTTGGACTTTTGAAAATATTTCATGTTTTGAAAGTTTGTTTTTGAAAGTGTTTGATGTTTGTTTTTGAAAAATGAGCAAGGATGTTTGCTTTTTGAAAGTGAGCAAGCAACTAGGAACAATATACCTACTCAAAAGTCTTTGTTCATTTCTTCCTTTCCTTTGATATTTCTATCTCACCATTGATTTGGTAAGAAGCCTTATCTTTGGATGTAAAGGGACGGGCATGGGTCATTGTATAGCCATGATATCAATGTTGTAAGATGTCTTAGCATTTCTCTTTGAGGTACTAAGATCATTTTGAAAGGCAACATTTGTAGCGTCATCGAGGGACTATGATCTTGTATTTTGATTTTTTTTTGCTAAGATATATCACATGCATAACATGGCCATTTTTGTAAGGCAACAAGTGGAATTACCCTAGGGGTGCAAGTGTGCAAGTGTGTTTGATTTACATGCATTGTTTATCTTGAATTAGGGTTTGCTACTTGTTGATTTTGTCTTTCCATACAAACCCTAATTACTAACATTTATATGAAAGCGATAAATTGCGGAAAGTAAAATTACTACGCTATTACATCATTAGGGGAGGGGGTATACAAATTTACATATGGAGATTGCAAGAAAATTAAACCTAATTATCTATTACAACCATATTGAATAATGTACAAGAATTGAAAATAATACAAGAATGTAAATAAAAAAAGAAATGATTTTTTTGTTTGGTTTTTGTGAAAGGGTTTAGTTTTGACATAATTAAGAAAATAATTAATTAAAATTAAATAAAATTAAACCTAAACTAATTAAAAAAAGAAATTAAGTTAGAAAGCATTTTTAGGATTTTCATGAAAAGGTTTTAAGTTTAATAAAAATAATATGAAAATTAATTAATTAAAAGAAACCTAAATTCTAAGTTAATTTTAATTTAAAAGAAAAGAAAATAAACTTGAGTCTAATTATTATTTAAATTTAAAAAGAAAAGAAATTAAATTTGTTAAGATTTTTTTTTTGTCTTTTGTCTTTATAAAGAAAATAAAATAAATAAGTGTGAAAATAATAAATAAAAATATTTTTGGATTTTTATTAAAAATAATAATAATAATAAAAATAATAATAATAATAATAATAATAATAATAAATAATAAATAAAAATGAAGTAAAATAAATAAGAAAAAGAAAATAAATTAAAATGAAATGATAAAAAATGTTTGGGCTAGGTATGTGAAAGCATGTAGGGGGTGAAAAGTTAGCAAAAAAAGACAAGGCCCAGGCGCTGGTTGTGGCAAAAAAGAAAGGAAAATGTGGAAAAATATGAAAAGTGGCAGCGCTGGGGCTTGAACCCACGCCCTGTACATGAAACGCGTGCTGCCTTACCACTGGGGTGGCTATACATCCGTTAACATAAGTGAAACAATAAATACATAACATAAGTCAAGTCCTGGAAATAACTTCATCTTCAACCTCCAGCCATGGTTCCTGTAACTTGCTCATTTCTCAACAAAAATGAAAGATGCAAACATGAAAGTTGCTCCATTTTTCAATACGAATCCAACCATATAAATATCATAAGCTATAAATCAAAGATGAATGAGAATTTCAAAAAGTACCAAATTCTGACCTAACTTTTTTCAGAGATTCAAACCTAAAATTCTCTAAGCTCAATCAATATAAATGAAATCTATGGACATGTACAGTCTCAGGGTAATGATATCTATATTTTATCTTCACAAATGCAAGCTTAACAATGCCTAAATGAAAAGATAGAAGTTCAGAAAAGATACCTCAAAACTGGAAGTCGTAAAATGCAAATTAGCTTGATTCAAGGTGCTGCAATGATCAGGTTAGCTTCCTCAAGTTCCCAGGAAGCTAATGCAATGATTAGCTTGAGCAATGGATGGCTAGAATGACTTGGAGAAGTCAACTTGCAAACTCTGTTTTTTGGTTATGGAGGTTGATGAAAATCGTGTTACAGTTCTGGAACAAGGACATGGATGGACTATATTTGATGTATATGAGCTTTGTGATTGATTAGGAAGGAAAATGCACAAGGGAATTGTGAGTTACAGGTTCAAAGTTAGAATGTGCACATAAATGGAGTTTTGATGCCAATTCTAATTTGATATAGTTTGGGAGAGTTTCAGGGTGCTTAAACTCGTCTCTTAGCTCACAAATAGTGCCTCTATTTATAAGCAACAAGTTTTGAGACTTGTAGTTGATCAGAATTCAAAATCAAATGTTTAAGCTCAACATGTGATTTTCTTGAAAAATCAAGTTTCAATGCTTTGTACTTGCTATTGTAGAGTGGTTACACTTTAAACAAACTTGCTTCTGAATTTGTAGATGAAGTGTGATCATATGGAACAAGTGAGAGACTCAGGAATTGACATTGTGCATAAAGCTTGCTTTTCAAGAATGACAATGTTAGCTTTCTTCCCAAAATGGCAAATAGACTTGGAAAATGCTAAAACCACTTGGATTATGGCTCAAAAGTTTATGTAATCCATTAATTATGGATAGATACACAAGTTAGAAGACCTTCAAAGCAAGATTATACAACCTAACATTGAGATTGGATTATGTGTTCATCAAGAAATGGCTTGTAATTCAAGTTTGAAATCCTAACTTCATGGCTTCGATTCTCTTAGCTCAAATATGATCTCAATGAGTCCTTGGACATTTTGGAAAGCTTGTAACATCATATATAACATTCATGTTGGACATTTTTGAAAATTCAAATTGGAACTAGATGAAAAATTGCCATGAAGTTAGGTCAAAATCCTGCCTAAACTAGGGCAAAATTTCACTAAGTTTTTTAAGTTCCATGAACATGTCTTCACAAAATCATAACTTGAAATCTAAGCATTTATAGGAAAAGTTATTCCTTACAATGTTTAAGATCTCATTGAGATCTACAACTTTTATGTTGGAAGTTTCCCTTGAATCATCTTGCATCATGGTGTAAATGTGGCACAAAACTATGAAAAAAACATGAATTTTCAACACTTACAAAAATTCTAAGTTTGGAAATTTTGACTTTTCAAAATGAAATATTGAATTTTTGATTTCTTGATGAAATTTTTTCATATTTTGACATGTCTTGATGAATTGTAATCTTTGAAACTTGATTTTGATCAAAAAGTCAAAGTTTGATTTTTCAGTGTACAATTGACTTTTCATCCGTTGACTGAAATTCAACTATCAATCAATTAATCTTGAGAAATATTTTGAGTCATGCCATTAGGTAAAAATGAAGCATTTGAATCCTTGAGATCATAGCTTAAACCAATAAATCATTGATTAGGTCAAAAGTCAAAATTGCACCTTCCCATTCAAAACTCTAATTTTGACCATTTTGCCCTTTTAATGATCTGATCAAATTTCTTGAGGAAGTGTGATCCAAACTTGATAAAATGGCATGTATGAGTTCATGATGTTGATATGGGTCAAAAATTATGAAGTTTGACTGTAAATTGACCACCGTTGACTTTTCCCCCAATACAACTGATTTTAGATCAACTAATTGACTGAGCAAAAATGTGATCCGAGACTTGAACCTTGACATGAGCAATCTTGAGGGTCCAAAATGATCCATGAAAGTCATATGGGGCATTAAACGTCCATTTGTCCTTGTGCAAACTCAAACCCTAATTTTCAGTTATAAGTGCTTAAGGAGGTGTCTCAAACCCTAATTTTCAGTTATAAGTGCTTAAGGAGGTGTCTTGAGCTGATCAAACCTTGTGTAGTCTTGGACCAAAGGAGATCTTGTGAGAGATTACTTGAGAAATGAGAGGGAAAATTTTGAGGTATAATAATCATTTACAAGTCCATTCAAATTCGTTGTTGTTCTTTCAAACAAAATTACAAAGTTACATAAAAGTCCTAAACATGTTCTTAAGCCTAATCCTATGATTTCTAGGAGAGCTTCGCATTAGTTTACTTTTTGAATATCCCTCAAAACTTCAAATTGTCATTTTCTTCCAAACTTCATGCTACACCACATATACCTCCTCTTCATTCTCCGTGCACTCACCATTGTTGCCATCTCATGAAACAAGAAGGAAAAAGAAGGTGGTTAGCAAACAAAACTTGAGTATAAACAAGATATTTTCAAAGAATTTTTCAAATTTCATCATTAGGGTTTGCTTGAAGGGATCAGTTTGTGGTTTAAGGAATTATATTTCAAATCATGTCCACAAATCCAACAATAAAGCCTCATATCCTTCATAACAAAAATTAGTTTCAAGTTTAATCATGGGCCTAATTCCATCCTACTGCAAATCTCAAACAAGTGCAAAGAGAATTTTTGGTTCACAATAAGAAAAACTCAAGAAGAGATAAATCATTGCACACAAACTCGGTCAAAACCCATCAAACATCACAGTTGCACAACAGTAACAAACATGCCAACACAAATTTTACATCTCAGCAAAATCAAGTTACTGCAGTAACAAATTTTCACAGGAAATCAACAAGTGCAAACAAAAATCACAAATTCAAGCCCAATAAACAGAATCGTAACCAAATCACAAAATATCACAGAAAAGAAGCTATCAAGTATACGAAACCCTAATAGTTGATCATCATCTTCCTACTCAAAGTCCCTTCAGAATACAGAGAAAGAGAAGAGGAAAAGAAAATTTCGAAAGAGTCGGAATCAGAAAGATATTAACGGGAAGAGCCTGAGCTATTGGCATCCTGTTGCGAGCTTGATAAATCCACAACTTCGTTACTTTTTTACATTCATATCATCCTTATCATCAGGTATGTGCTGAACAAGCATATCAGTGAAACCTGAAGATGAACAAAAAATAAAGCTGCAAGCTAGCCTTAGCAAAGGTCTGATATTCAGTCTGTATGCAACATTGCTTAGTGTAACATCATGTTCCGCAAGGGTTGTCTCTGCACTCTTTTTATGTTCCCCAATAACTTGGCTATATATCTTGTAAAGCATCTCTAACACAAACCTGCATCATGCATTAATAAAATCAGAAAACAATGGACAAATAGCATTAAGTTAGAATTAACAGCTAACTATTTTTCTAACCTCCTAATTGTAACTACCCTAACATAATTTCTTCATAACAGAACCAACGAATTTTCACACCTGTAACTAACTGTAACATATCAGAATGGGCCTTCAGCACCTATTTCTACTACAACACGCCATGTTTCAGGCTGACACCCCCTGTGTATTTTTTTTAGTTTTTCTTTAGTATTTTTGTTTTCTTTTCATAATTGTTATATGACATTTTTGTTAATAAAAAATATTGATGAAACAAAAAACACATATAAAAAATGTTATATTTTTTTATTTGTTTTTTTAGGAATTAAATCTCGATTATCCAATTACTTGAAATTTGTAATTCACTTTTGCTTGTTGAGATTTGAGTCTTATGCAGGTTTATTGTGTGATATGCGGATATGTTCGAGATTTCGATTGTGATTTATTTTCACATCGACGATACTTTGATGCTTATTCTTAGCATTTGATTTCTAACTCTTTACTTTTATTGGTGAAGCTTTCACAAAGATCGTCGGGTTTCTTTGTTTGGATATGCTTTGCTACAGATTGATATTTGTTTGGTATTTTCTCTTGTTTATCTCATTTTGCACTTTACTGCTTCCTAGATATCACAAGAAGTAGGAACTTTATTGCTTTCTAGATATCATGAGAAGTAGGAAATAAAGAACGTGTGCTCGAAGTCGCTGTTTAAAGTCTTGTAGCAGGCACCGCTTTCTATATGTTATCTGTGTTTGTTTAAAATCATACCTTTAGAGTAGGTATTCCGCATGTGTGTTTACATTTATGCCCGTATTATATTACAGATGATAAATCCTCAAAAGGAGGCGAGCAGAGAGGGTTATTAGCCAACCCCTGCACATTCTAGTCCGTGTCATCCTTAGCTCACGTTGCACATCGATGCTTCGGAGTTGTGCAGATCTTGTGTATCGAGTCGCTCATGTGGAGAAGGGTTCGCAACCAACCCCCACACTTTGTCAAGAATTCGCAATGGCCATTGCTGATACTTCGCTACCCGCTTGTTTGCTTCGGGTGATACGCTCCTCTTAGCTAAAGAATTTTTTTTTTTATTTCATCTGTCTCCTGCTTGTTTGCTTTGGGTGATACGCTCCCCTTAGCTAAAGCATTTCTCTTGTTTCCCCATCCCTTTTAGTCACTACATGCTACTCATGTTCGTGTGTTTTTCTGAAGCACTTGTTTTCTTATTTGTTTACTATACCATGTTCCCTTAGAATAGGAATTTTTAGGCTTCCCTTAGGATCACTCGATTAGAGTAGCTTTCGAGCTACACATTAGGATATGTATTTATGCATGCTAATATAGGTTAGAGATTTCCCTTTTATCCTCGACCGTAGGACCACCATTGTATGATAACATTAGGGATAAAACTAGATAGCCTCCCTTAGATGTTTTTCTTTCTTTTGCATCCTTGTGTTAAGACTAAAACTCTTTTTTGGCAAATCATAAAACATCTAACAACTTTCAAATCCTTCTTTAAGGTAAAAAAAACATCAACCAATGCAAGCTTTTTGCGCCTTCGGTCTTTTCTTTCAAACTTTTTCAAAAGAACATGTTAATACACTTCTGTGCTGACGCGTGAGTCTCCAAAGTCGAGTTGCAGCAGAAGACGAAATTAATGTTGTTCATTAAAAAACACAAAACAAATCAAAACATATGAGTCGAACGACGACTGCTCTGATTCCTTAAAAGGGATACGTAGGCATTGGGGTAGGGCCCGAACGAGCATAACTTTATTTTCCCTACATTATTTTCTCTTTTCTTTTGCATGCATTCCCTGTATAGCTTAGATATAGATTCTTACACACTCTTTGATTAGAACAACATGAGTGCATACCATAGAGTACTACGGGCGTGTGGGGTGCTAATACCTTCCCCTCGCGTAACAGACTCCCTTACCCGATCTCTCGTTTGCTTGATCTTGATTTCACCCTTCTCAGGTTTACTCAATGTTTACCTTTCCCTTCCTGTGGGATAAAAACGTTCGATGGCGACTTCATTGATTTCATCACGATGATTTTTTCAGTCGGTTGTTTCACAGATTAGTAGAAACAAAAAAAAATTAAAAAAAAAAGTAAAACTGAAAATAAAATTTTAATTGAACAACAATTGAATCTATATAATTTTGCAGTCCCCGACAATGACGCCAAAAACTTGATCATTAAAATAGCAAGTGTACTATTTCGCCAATGTAGTAATAATGAGGAAAGTTTCCTGAATGTCGATCTCAAGGACTGTGTACAATTATCGAGTTCAATTCATGTTCAATTAAACAAAACTTAATTTGGTGTTTTAGTTTTGAAATTGTCACTTAACAAATAGCAGGAATATAAATTGGCTTTTCACTGATATGAGGAGCATGCTAAGGGTAAGTGTGTGATTTTCCCCTGTAATAACCTTTAGTCTTGATTTCTTCAACAAGTTCATTACCTTCAACTATCGAATCTTTAGTTTGTTTTCCCCTAAGTCCTTAGTGGGAAAACCTTTGGTCCTTCATCCTAATACCTAAGTCCTTAGAGAATTATGATGAAATCAAGCATTTATTTTATCAAGATTTTACCGGTAAACTATAGGGTATCACTAGTCCTAGGTGATATCTACTATAGTCTAATCGTTCAAAAACCATAACAATAGGGGTCTAGCCCTAATTGTTAACCGTGAATCAATCCATATTGGTCCAATAGGAAAAGCATAAGAACATTGAATAATTAAGTTGAAAAGAAACTATTGTATCAAAATCAAGAATTCAAAATCATTACATTTGCAAATCAGGGAAACCTCCCTAGCCTCTCATAGTATTAAAAAGAAAAGCAATAATAAAATTAGACATTACAAAAGGTATGGATTCTTCGATCTTCAATTGCTATCGCTCATTAAGGAATCACTGTCTCCAAATCTCTTGACAACACCGATCTTTATCGTTCCTAATCTTCTCTAGTCAAAAATTCTCTAATTCATCGTGGAAACTCCTCTAAAAAGAAAAAACTCATTTAGGTCGGTTGGAAATACCCAAAACACCATCATAGGCCAACTAATGAACAAAATAACCTGAAATACTGAAATCAGCGTCGTAACCCAACACAGGTCGTGTCAAGCAACACGCATGCCCGTGTTAGACCTCTGGAAATTTAATTCTTGAATTCTTGGTTCAGGCACTCTGACACGAGCCGTGTCAGCTGACACGGGGCGTGTCAACTGACACAGACACCCGTGTCACACCCTGACTTCCCCTATTCCTGGATCTCGTCCTGGTTGTAATCCTGATACGGCCCATGTCAGGTGACACGGGTGGCCGTGTCAGGCCTCCTGTAGATGGATATTTTCATTTCTTCTGAAACTCCAAGTTTTGCACCGATTTTCCCCAAATTATTCTTTTGAACCTGAAAACATTAAAACACAAAACCAACACAAAAAAAGTGATAAACTAAAATAAAACACGCAATGATAAAAAGAAAGGATAACATAAAACAATGGTAAATGACTGTGTAAAAACCATTGATCACTCAGCTCCCTCGGGATTAAAAAAAATTGTTGAGACTCCCCCTCAACTCAGAAACATCCCTTACAGGGCAACAAAATACCTATAATTCCTTCGGATAACTGAAGTAACAATTGTGTTCTTAACTCAGGTCACAAGTCAGAAATAACATGACTAGGAGACTCAGAATATTTCCTTCAATATCCTTGTGAGTTGGTTCTAATACAAAGTACAAACTCAGAAGCTGATCAATATTTTCCTCCCCCTTTTTAGCCAAAACTTGACAAACAAATCCCTCATACATCTAGACCCAAAAAGTGCTTATCTGCATCCAGACATATGCCATAAGGCTATAGAAAGAATAACTACCACACTGAAAGAGGTGAATTAAATACCTCTTTAAATATCCAAGTAGTATTCTTAGGAAATAATGATCCTGGTCAAAGAAGATGTTATTTGAGGGAGACCATTGAATAGAGAAGCACCATCCAAGACTGATTTTGAATGTCTTCATAATTCCAAAAAAATATGCAGATGCACAAGTCGGCTTTATACATCCTCCTGGAAGTAGCATCTATAAAACTCTCTTGTTTGGCTCAACAAAAACATCTCCCAAAAAATGTTCTGACATCTAGTCAAACACTTTCTACTATCTTGTGACCTATACTTTTGCAATTTTCGGTCAAAGATGATTCCCAAGGCCTTATCCACACACGATCTGAAATCCAATCCCATGGACTTTTACTGGAATTTTCTTATCCTCCTTCTGGCCAGTAAACAACACACTCTAAAAAAAACTGCTTCACACATAAATCCAAATATGTTCTGATGTATGAACATATTGCCTTCAACAAAACTTTAAGAGAACTCCTACCATTTAGGCCTAACCATACACTCCAAGAAAAGTGTGACATCTCTCATCAACATAGACCTTTATAGATTCCTTCAAAAAAAATTACTCAGCAGAGAAAAATACATTCTCCCAGACTTAACCAACTAGATTTACCTAGATAGAATCACCCATGCACTGAGAACGACATGCAAACTACATAGAAACAAACCATTGACATGTAAAACTCCCCCTATCATGGATAAATAATTCTCTTGCTGAAGAAGAGAAATGAAGAGTAACACCATACGCCTCTAAGTCATCATACACACTTGCACTGACAACACTCAAGCAAAAACAATTAGTTTGCTTGCTTCACAAGTTCTAGGTTACCACACTTACAACAGAGAAACCACTTCTCCACATTCTTCATGATCAGATCACACTATCTGATACTAGTCCTCTGCCCTTACATTCACTAGCAATTGCTGGTACTAATAAAGTATTCAACATAGTAGTTATGCATTCACCAAGCATACTACTGTAGATAAGATCAGAATATGCCCTTTCTGATCCATATAGTTAGAACTTCCATTTTCTGACAATAATGTTGATCCCCAATTCTCCATAACCTCATACCTCCAAAATGATGTTGCAAAATCATTTAGGACATCAGCATTTCTTCATAGAATCCAATCAATTGATTCTTGATTTAACATCCAAAGAGCTCATTAAACTTGATACTCCTTTAAAACATGAAGAATTCAAAAGTTCACAC